GGATGGAGCTGCCTGGCATGTCCCGTGGAGCAGCTGGCAGAAAGGCTCTGCTCAAGGCCCTAAGACTTGCGGTTATAAAAGGGCGATTAAGTGATCTTCTCCCCCATCTTATTTCTTGGAAGTTGGTCAGTTTTCTCCTCCACTGACTCTGTCCATGGTCTGTTGTGGTGGAGAGAAAGGGGTCGGGCCAGAGACACCCCAACAGCGAGGTGGGAGTGGGAACGTCCTGCCTAAAGGCCATATGGGGCTCCAGAAATCAGTGGATCTGGCCATAAAAAAGCAACCATGGATGGGACTTAAAGTTCAGTAGGAGGCTAATTATTTAAGGGAGAGAGGGAGAGAGATCTTCCATCTTCTAGTTCACTCCACAAATGGCTTCAATGGTCAGGGCTGGACCAGGCTGAAGCCAGGAGCTAGAAGCTTCTTCTGGGTCTCCCACATGGGTGCAGGGTCTCAATCACTTGGACCATCTTCTGCTGCTTTTCCAAGCTGTTAGCAGGGAGCTGGATCAAAAGTGGAGCAGTTGGGATTCGAATCAGTGCTCCCTATGGAATGCTGGCGGCAGGTTTTTGTGCTACATTCACCACCAGGGTAGCTCCAGCTGGCAGTTTTAAGTTCATATTTCTGCATGGTCCTTGGTTCAGAGAGTATCAGTTAATTTTAGTATTAGCTTAAGAAAGATTCCATAAGAATGCAAATTTGCTCTAAAGGTGTAATTAATGCTGAAGCCAACCAGGAGTGGTTTACAAGTGTTTGCAATCCATGCTAGACAAGTAGAGCAGCATCTTTTAGAAAAATATTTATTTATTTATTTATTTATTTTTATTAAAAAGGTGGATATGCAGAGAGGAGGAGAGACAGGGGAAGATCTTCCATCCATTAATTCCATAAATGGCTGCAATGGCCAGTGCTGCGCCAATCCAAAGCCAGGAGCCTGAAGCCTCTTCTGGGTCTCCCACACAGGTACAGGGTCCCAAGGCTTTGGGCCATCCTCGATTGCTTTCCCAGGCCACAAGCAGGGAGCTGGATGGAAAGCAGGGCTGCTGGGATTTGAACCGGTGCCCATATGGGATCCTGGCACATGTGAGGTCAGGACTTTAGCCACTAGGCTACCGCGCAGGCCCTATTTATTTATTTCTAAAAGATCTATTTGTTTATTTGCTGGAAAGTCAGATTTCATAAAGAGAAGAAGAAGCAGAGAAAGATCTTTTATCTTCTGGTTCACTCCCCAAGTGTCCACAATGGCCTGAGCTGAGCTGAGCTGAAGCCAAGAGCCAAAAGCTTCCCCCAAGTCTCCCATGCAGGTGCAGAGCCCCAAGGCTTTGGACCTTCCTCTACTGCTTTCCCAGGCCACAGACAGGGAGTTGGAAGGGAAGTGGAGCAGCCAGGAAATGAACTGGCACCCATATGGGATCATGATACGTGAAATGTGAGAACTTTAGCCACTAGGCTACCATGCCAGGTCCAAAAGTCGTTATTTTATCTGAAAGGCAGAGTTACAGAAAGAAGAAGACCAAGAAAGATCTTCCATTCGCTGATTTGCTTCCCATATAGCCACAACAGCTGGAGCTGAGCTGATCCAGAGCCAGGAACTTCTTCCAAGTCTCCCACATGGGGTCAGGACCTAAGGCCTTGAGCCATCCTCCACTGCTTTCCCAGGCCACAACAGGAAGCTGGATCTGACGTGGAGCAGCCAGGACTTGAACCAGCCCACAAACTCCTTCACCAGATGTCTCAGCCTGCCCATGCTGACCAACTTCCCTTGCTGTAGCACCTCACTCCTGGGATGTCTGTCTCTGTGCCTTGTGACTATCAAGCTGTCGCTCACCCTGGGAGCTCCAGCTGGAAGGAAGCTTTGATCCTGGTGGGACTCTGTCTTGTGTCCCTGCAGCCCTCTGCTAACCTCTCATTTCATTTTTCTATTATCCTTTGGAAAGATGAACTATAGCATTGGTGTCCATCTTTGCCCCATAGGAGGGGTTTAGTAAAGCACCACCTGAAAGCTGTGGATCAACTACCGAGCTCAGCAGTGAGGGCAGTCAGGGAAGCTCCTGGAAACCCAAACTTGCCCCCATCGGCTGTAGACCCAGCTCACAGTATCTGGGGAATTTTATGAGATCTCAGTTCTCCACTTGCTTTGAACAGCCCTGTGGCTTTGAGGAGAAATGACTCACCCAGAGCGTGGAAGAGATGCAGACTTGAGATTGTCAGCCACTGATCTTTGCCTGCGTAGACTTCCTCCTTGCAACTGCAGATCTGTTCTGAGCTCCCCTATATAAATTGCATCTACATTTAAATTGTGCATCCTTCTGAAGGCTGGGGCTGGGAACGAGAGAGATGAAACTCCAGAGGAAATTGTGCTCACCTCAAACCCGAGACTGAAGTGACATCTGGCTTTTACTATTTCTGTTATTGCAGTTTAAAACTGCAGCATTGAGGGAAGAGAAATTGGATCCACATTTTAATGAAAGGAGGCAGCTCTCAAGGCTTAGACTTCTTATCACGCAGAATACCTACTCAACTGGCAACAAAAACTCACTTTCTTCAAGAGCTGAAATGACGTGCAGAGAATCAACAAGAAAACTGATAGATGTGCTGCCGATGCTGCCAAGGACAGACATCTTCAGAACCATGTGATTGGTCAGGAGTATCACAGCCGTGGGTGAGCAGAGGAATGGGCTCTTAGCCCTGTTGGAGCTCAACCTTGTTTTAAGCCCTGCAGATCTGTCCAGAAAAGTATTGCGGAAACACCCGTTTCATCCCCATGGTCTGACAGCTGAATTGGAAGCGGTTCCACCTGCTGGCTGCTGTTTTGCTGAAAGCAATTCTGGGAAATGTAAACAAAACGCTTCTGCATCCTAATAACTCATGCCCATCATTCATTTTCTTTGGTGGAGACAAATGTGTCAATTTCCCAAGCCTTTGTTGGAGGAATCTGGTGTGTGTGTGTGAGTGTATGTGTTGGTAAATGTTTATGTGTTTGGAAACTGGTGCTTTATTCAAACCCAGAAGCCACAGCCTGGGATCCCCTAGGGAGCCTTCTCAGCTGCTTAGGATTGGCAAAGAGCAGGTGTCAAAAGGGGTGGATCCTCCTGATTAAGAGGCTGGATATGGGAACTTGGGAGGCTAGGGTTCAGTGGAGAATACATGCAGCACTAATGAGGTGCCCTGTGACCCCCTGGCTCTTTTGGACAGCCCCATGGGGAGGCTGTTAGTCATTCCCAGAGAAAGAGGAGCTCCTGGCAGGGTTAGTCACTGACGTCATCTTTCCCTGCCCAGCTGGTAAGTGATCTGAGTCCATGCAGGCTCGCTCCACTGCTCTTCCCTTAAGCCCTCTCTGATATTTCCCCTCTGTCCCTGGTATTGAATCATTTTGTCTTGCCTAATTGTTGTTTTGTAAAGAGTTATTAAATTTATTTGAAAGACAAAATTACAGAAAGAAAAGGAGAAACAGAGTTCTTCCATCTGCTGGTTCGCTCCTGAAACGACTACAACAGCTAAAGCTGGGAGCCAGGGGATTCTTCTGAATCTCCCACATGGGTACAGGGGCACAAGCACTAGGGCCATTCTTCGGTGCTGTTTCAGACACACTAGCAGGAGCTGGATCAGAAGCAAAGCCGCCATGACTTGAACCAGCATCCATATCTGGCACCCATATTAAATGCTCGCACAGCAGGCAGAGCCTTCTATGTCACGACACCAGCCCCACCTAATTTTTTTTTCAATCTCAGCAATCTTTCTTGAAAGACACAAGCTAACAGCCTGACAGATCTTTCCTTTCACACAACAAAAGCAGCAACAATAACGGCCAGCTCTGTGCAAGGCGTAGGACTCATTCTTGTGCGAAGTGGGCAGCACTGTTTGTATCGACTATCACAGGAAGGTCGGCTGGCCCAGGCTATGGTTCTGCAAAACGTTCTTGTTTATCTCACTCTCCTGCTTCTCTCTTATGTTTAAGATTCACTTAATTGTTTGAAAGACAGAGCTAGAGAAGTTGAAAGACACACACATAAACACACACACAGATTTTCCACTCAAAACTCTCTAAATGGTGGCAATAGTGGTGGGCTCGGCCGGGGGCCTGAAACTCCATCTAGGTCTTCTATGCAGGTACAGCAACCCGAGTACTTGAGCTATCTTTCACTTTTTTTTTTTTTTTTAAAGATTTGCTTATTTTTATTGGAAAGTCAGATCAGAATTATGGAGAAAAGGAAACAGAGAGAAAGATCTTCCATCCTCTGGTTCAATCCACAAATGGCTTCAATGATTGGTGCTGAGCTGATATGATGCCAGGAGCTTCATTGGGATCTTCCACGAGGATGCACAGTCCCATGGCTTTGAGCCATACTCCATGGCTTTCCCAGGCCACGAACAGGAAGCTGGATGGGAAGTAGAGTAGCCAGGACACAAACCAGCACCCATGTGGGATCCTGGCATTTGTAAGGTGAGGATTTAGCCATTGAGCTATTGTGCTGGGAGCTTTCTTCCAAGTGTATTAGTAGGGGGTTGAATCAGAAGTGGAGCAGCTGAAATTCAAGTGATCCAGATACTGGCATCACAAACAACTTAACCTGCTGTACCACAATGCCACCTCTCCTCTCCTTCTTTGCGCCTTATATGAGCAATCCTTACTGAACTCTTGTGGTTTCTTCCACTCCTCTGGTTTCCCTAGAGCATACGGCTCAATTGGCCATCGATTCCCATGGCCCCGTCCATGGGTGTCCTAGATATTTGAGTTTTTTTTGAGTTCTCCTTTCTCTCCCCAACTTCTAGGCAGCACCTGGACTGGTGGCTCTACCCTTCTTGACATTTTTCCCTAACAGTGTGCCTAGGAAGCCCACCATTGCCTCCTCTGTTTGCACTGCAGTGATATGAATCACCAGATTTGTACCTCCATCTGTTGCTAAGGGGGTTACTGATGTCACACTGTCAGGATTATGATCGCCATAATATCTTTCAGGCAGAAGGGGGCTGGTTGCTAGTGGAAACCCTAGAGTGACACTCACCCAAGCTTTAGTAACTAGCTGGTCTGCATGGACTTTAGACAGCCATGTGAAGGGGTAAGTGGATTCGTCCCCGGTTGGATTCCATTTGGATATTGTCTTCCATATGCGTGCTCCCTCTGGGCAGTTGTCTAGTGTCACTTGAAATTGATGAGGGCTCTTTCGGAGGTTATTTTGGGGAAGCTGGCGAAACAACAGACAGCTGTTCTCAGAACAAATGTCACAGGATCTGCCTAAGCCAGCGTTCAGGGGGGAAATAATCTGTCGTGTTGAAGGACTTTGTCCTTTTTCTTCCCAGAACTTGGTCGTTTCCTAGTGACCTAAAGGTATTAATTTAGCACCCAAACACAGAAAAGGAGGAAGCAGACATTTGCTAAGCACCTACTGTGTGCAAGAATGTGATTCTCCTTAAAGAACAGCTTTAAAGGGGGAGAGCTGGCCAGTTAGACAAGTGCAAACCACCTGTTTATTACTCATCACAGCTCACAGCTATCCTAGCTTGTGTGTGATGTTCTTCCTCATTGGACGTTGACTGATCGCCGATTAAGGCAAAGTCATTACTTCAAACTGGTTCAGATCCTCCAGTGTTGGGTAATGATCCTACTGCCATCTTATGAAACATGATAGAAACAGGCACAACAAACTCCAGAATTAAAATCTCTGTTAAAATGTTTGACGGGGAACTCTGTTCTTCTCAGCATGTTAAGCAAGCAGAGGGGTCAGTTTAGGAAACCCAAAGGTCAACCAAATCAATCTGATTGAACTTGAGCCCCTGCGACTTTGGAAAGCCATAGCAAGATCTTCACAAATTTCAAGGAATCCATTTGTGTGCCAGAGTAGTTGACTTCTTTTTTTTTTCCTTCAGATGCCAGTTCAGCAATTACGAAGTCTGCTGGTGGTTAATTAAAAACTACCATCTCGTTACGCTCAGAGTTAAATTACAAGTGTGCAAACGACTACTGTGCGCAATCACCAAATGCTCCGAACTCTCTATGCTGTCATCAGAAACGGGGCAGGGATAAATAACTTTCATTTAACTCGCGGAAAAAATCGCTCTCATCTCGTTCACGTTTAATTAACTTCTCAACGTCTCAGAACCTGAGTCTTACTCAGAGCTTCTGAGCAGCCGTGGAAAGATGAGTTCATTTTGTCAGCGAGATTTTTTTTTTTCTTTCATGAGTTGAGTAGAAAAGACTGACCCTCTTACCCAAGTGACCTCTACCCACGGATGCAACAGAAGCCCAGTAGGGGCTTATTGCAGAAAAGAGCAGGAAGTGCTGATGTGTGTTTGATTACCAGTGCACCTCCCAGGATGGGGAGACGGGATTGTAAAGGCTTTGGTGGGCTAGTACTTAGAGCACTTCTTTGGAAGGCTATGCTAATAGACTTCATGTTTTACTCTCTCAAGGGTTTCCAGGTCACACAGAGGCCACTCTTCTATCACCATGGTGGACATGAAGTGTCTGAGTGACTGTGAGCTTCACAGCCAGCTGCAGAAACTCGGCTTCTCACCCGGCCCCATACTACGTAGGTGTCCAGCAGGTGCTAGCGGTTGGCTTTTAGTGTTCACGAGCTCCCTCCAAAGACTTACAACGATCCACTGAAGCAGCAACACATGCTGTAAGAACCATTACCACAGACATGGGGGAACAGAGCAAGCAGAAAACCCCAAGAGGGAAGAAGCCCTAAGCCTAACAGATTAGTAAGTATGGCGCCCGAGAGAATGGACTGACTCTTGCCAGCTGTGAGAAACCCAGTTGCTCCCTTGACTCTCTTGGCCTGGTTTTTCTCTTTGTTCAAAGCATGCATGTCATATGAACTATCTGTGGATCTGTTATCCATATGCTTATACACAGCCTAGTCACACATATCCAAGGCCTGATTCTATGGCTAATCCACAGAGACATCCCCCAAGAGTCTGTGAAAAGGAGAGATTAGGTAACAGTAGAGCCCTCCTCATTTCCAAAGCCACAACTGATCGCTAACATGAGGTACGAGAATCAAGGTCTTGGTCAGGAAACCTGAAACTCAGGAGGACCATGTGCAAAAATGATTTCATTTATTCTTCATGTTCCTCCTCAGCGTCCACCAGAAAAGTATATGAAAAGAAGTTACAGCAGTTGCTGGCCTCCATTCCCTGTGCTTCCCCTGTTGCCGAGGGACCCACCAAACCCGGAGAGTCTCAGGACAGCGATGACAGCCAAGGTACCTTCGTTAACCATTCCGTCATGTGGCAGCTTTCCACTCATTGATACCATGTCCGCTATAATGAGTGCAGCTTCCCAGGCTGTGACCTGGAAGAGAGCTGAGGGCTTGTTTACACGAAGAGCCTGGAAAATAGACCCCTGGGCAGCATGAGGGACCCCACACCTGCATTCACCCTGGAGACTCACCTAACTGGTGGAAGGCTGCGGGGAGGACAGGTCCTTACAGATCCTGTCACTCACATGTGTTGACTTCTTGCACCCAACGTTCCTATAGGTGAATTCTGGATCTCTTTTGATGTCTCAACATCAGACAAGTTTGCCTCTATCAACAAATCTGACCATTGTTTTCTTTAGGTTAAATGGTGGTATGCCTATTTAAGAAAGATTCAGCCCCTTTTCCACAAGGTGCCCTCCTGGTTTCCATGGGGCTGGCAGTGCTGGTCCCTTTGGGTTGCATGCTGTGTTGGGAGAGGGGCCTCAGGGACCCCTAGTTCTGCTGATGGTACCCAGGACCAGGTACATAAGGCCCCTGCCATTGTTTCTGCTATCAGGGTTCTTAGCGAATGGCCTTGATGAGTTCCACAATACATTCCAAGGCTTTTCTTCTTTTTTTTTTTTCCATCCAATAGCAGTTCTGTGAGCCATTGCCAAACAACACTGACTGAGGGTCATCCATGCAGGATGGACCTACTGTGCATTGTCTCATTTTGCCCCCACAGCACTTAGCATTTAATGACTATCCAATGTCAGGTGGCTGGGAAGTGGCCCCAAAGATAAAACCATGCCATGGAGGGCCTCAGGGCTCATGTATCTTCCCTAACCTGCCCATGTCCAGCTTCCAGAGCAAGCACAGAGCAGAAATTCAGGCCATGTTTGCTGAAGGAGTGACAGAACTCAGTGATTCTGAACCCAGCTCTGGCTCAAAAATTTTATTCTTCCCACCCTATGCTCTATACTTTCATTTCTACTGTGGGAATGAACACATGATAGTCCACACCACGTGTGATGTACAAAACTGAACAACTTCATGTAGTTTGAGTTAATATTTCAACAAATAATACAAGTGCCTGGAACCCTTGGGAAAGAAATCTCTGGACTCCTGTATTGGAGGAGGTACAGATGCTGAGTGCATTCCCCAGGGGCTGGGCACAGCTGGCCTCCTTTGAGAAGGGCAGCAAGGCTAGAGAATGGAAGGCACAGTGAGCCTGGGGGTCCTCAGAAGTCACGGGGTTCCTGACTGTAGACCAGGTTCCAAGTCCTGCCCTAGCCCTGGGCCTGTGTGTACTGCCCCGGAGGACTAGATGAACCCTGGAGGAAGAGCAGGGCCAGATTCCAGAAGCATTTGGGACTGTAGCCCAAGGTTGCAGGTTCAAGCTGTTGTGGGTCCTGCATGCAATCTGCGTATGGGTGCGTTTGGATTGGTCCTTGAATTGATGAACTTGACCACTCCTGAGTCTCCCCCAAGGCCAGGCGACTTCCAGGCCAGCAGGCGAGAGCAGCAGCTGTGACTCAGCCTGGCCTTTGTAGTGTTCATCTGTTCAGCTGCATGGCCACTGGCCAAGGAGAGCAGGTGGAAAACCCAGGTCTCCAGAATGCAGGGGCCGAACCAGAGATGTGAATGTGCTCATTGGAAGAATCTCATAGCTGCTGCTGCCATTAGAGGGGTTTGGAATGGAACTTTTGTTCCTCTGTGTGTGTGTGTGTGTGTAGATTCAACCTTGGCCATTTCACAGAAACACCTGCGATGAGGTCATGGGGTGAAGGCAGTGGTACAGGGAGTTCAAGACCTGTGGGTTGAGACTTAGATGCTCCAAACATTTTGTGGGCAAGAGTTCTCTTGGTTAAATGTAATTTGTTTATTTGAAAGACAGAGAAAAAAAGGAGAGCTTGTCCACTCATTAGATTTCTCCCCAAAAGCCTGCTACAGTTGGGGCTGGGCCAATGCCAGGAGCCAAGAGCCAGGAGCCAAGCACTGAATCCAGGTGCACCAAGTGCCTGCTGCTGCCCAGGGTGCAATGGGGCAGCAGGAGGATGGATTAGATGCAGAGCAAGGACTTGAGCCAGGACCAGAGAGGAGGAATGCAGGTGTCCTGAGTGGTGGTGAATGCCTGCCCATGGGTTAGATTTGTCTCACTTTCACTCACTGTTATGGCATGGGGTGAAACAGCTTTATATCAGATCTTCCACGGATGTTCACCTTGGAGAGCAGGTCAGACCCCTGCAGTCCAGGACTCCTCCCTGGGGGCCCAAGTCTTGCCCTCTGGCACCTCACCAGTACTTGGCTGCCTCTGACAGTTCCCGGTTTTCAAGCCTTTCAGCACAAGTCTGGCCTTCCCTTCCACAAGGTACTTTTTTGGATACTGAGGGAGAAAATCCTCCTACCCCATCTGGCCAGGCAGGGACATGCAGAGCTTTCTTCCGGCTTGCTCCAGGGGAACAGACTAGAAGTTTCTGCTCAGAGGTGCAGCCCGCACAAGTATTTCTTTCAGAGACACTTCACCACCAGGGCACCTTGAAAAGCTCTTAGGAAAATGGAATTCAGTGATAAGCTTGTTTTAGTGCCCCCACCCCCAAATGAAAATGTGAGACATGTGTGGGGTTTTTCATACTGCACATTTCCTGTGTGCTTTTTAAAGGCTTTGTGTGTGCAGCTTCCCTGTAATTCCAGGGAGGGTTTGCCAAGTCTCCCGCAGTTCCAGAGAAAGACTTGTTTCCCTGGGAAGGGCAATGGGAACTTTCCTCCTCTCTCAACAAAGCCGGGTGGTTGAAGGATTCACCCCTCCTGATTGCTTTTGATGCCCCTCGGCAAGCTCGTGTATTTTCTCACAGCCTCTTCTCCTTTTGTTTCCCATGATCCAGAGCTTAATATCATTTTGAAAGGAAATATCACACTCTCTGCAGAAAAAAGCAAGGAACTCCAAAAAGTATGTATCATTCTAATGCCGGAATGCTTTTATACCTGTATCCAAGTAGGAGATAGCACTCTTCTTGTGTGTTACCAAAAAGAACAGCAAGCTACTGTGTAATGCCAGAGTGATAAAATCCCAGGCTCGGTGGGATCGGCTTTAAAGTTTGTGTTTATTTTATCTATTTGAAAGATACACAGGCAGGGAGAGAGAGAGAGAGAAGAGAGAAGAGAGATCCCATGTCCTGGCTCATTCCCCAAGTACTAGCAACAGTTAGGACAGCATCAAATGAAAGACAGGAACCAGGAACTCAGTGAGGTCTCACACTGGGTTGATCTACCACTGCTGCCTCCCAGAGCATGCATCAGCAGGGAGGTGAGACTGCAAAAGGAGCTGGGATTCAAACCCAGGCTCCCTGGAGTGGACTACAGGTGTCCCAAGGGGATGTCTTACCTGCTGTGCTAAAGCTCCACTTGCAGGGGTCTATTGGGTGAGGTGGTTTCCATGTTCTACCAGAGGACCTGAAGTTAACAGGGTGTCATTCCTGCCCCTCCCTGAAAGCTGCCATCCTGCCCACCCAGTACCATGCCCTCCACCCCATCCCAGTTCCTTCTACCACCAGAAATCCATGCCTAGAAGGGGTTTTGTGAGAGAATGTGTGCTGTGCAAAGACTAGGCATGGGGCTCAAAATTGTTTTACCCTAAAATATGCTGAGCTTGTCCTCCCATTTCCCCAGAGCTGTATGAGTGCCCTGGTGAACTCACACGAGGCCCTGAGCTAGGGTTCTGCCAAGGTCCACAGTGAACATGTCTCTTTTTCTCCTTCCCCTTCACCAGGCACTAAGGCTTGGCTACCACAGCACCCCCATATTGAATCTCAAGTTCAAGTAGGCAAAGTCGTGGGTCTAGGGGTAAGCCTGGCTCAGGGAGAGACTCCTCAGGTGACCTGGGGCTATCTAACAGGGGTCAGCCTGTGGAGTTTCTCGGTAGCTCCCAGCGTGCAAGGCGAGTGTGGGTGGGGGATGGAAAGAGGGACACATGTGGAGCAGGTGCTTGCGCAGAAAGTCTCATGCCAACTCTGGCAACATTTTCCATCTTCTGACTTCTGCCCTATTGCATCCTGAGACACCTGCTTTTTTAGATTTGGACAACTCTGTACTCTTGGGTTCTTGGCTCTGTGGCACTGATGGTTTCTTTTTCTCACTAGTCTGTGTCTTGGACCTTCATGGCACCTGTGCCTGAGAACTCTGTCTTCAGCCCTGTCTCTTCCTCATTTGTATCATTTGGTGTCTCATCCGTTTGAGTTCTCCACATGGGGTCTGCCTTTATTTGAAAGCAAGAGTGATAGAGAGAGAGATAGAGAAGATAGAGAAACACAGAGAGATAGAGAAACACACTTTCTTCTGTGGTTCAGTCTCCAAACACCTGTAACAACCAGGGCTGAAGCCAGAGGCCGGGGGCTAGGAGCTCCATCTGGGTCCCTCATGTGGGTGGCAGGAACTCAAGTACTTGGGCCAGCATCTGCTGCCTCCCAGGTGCATTAGCAACAAGTTAGATCAGAAGTGGAGGCATGCCTCTCCCAGTCTCTCTGATACGGGATACAGGCGTCCCCATGGCAGCTTAATTCACTCTTGCCAATGCCTGCCTATCAACTAGTAGTTTTACCTCATTCAGTCACTAGGGTCATGAGGAGGAGCCCAACACTCCCCCCTGACAAATTCATGTCATAATTCTGGGAGACAGATAAGCCAATGTGCTACAACTAGGAACCATCGAAAACTTTGTGAAACATGAAATGAAAAGATATGTTTTTTACGCAAAACTTTTCAAAATCTGTTTTTTTTTAAACAATACACATTTTCATGAACTTTCTAGAGGCCCACAGCTTCGAAAACTACCTGCTGAATTTAAATAAATGACAAAAAGGCCCAAGTGCACTTTGCTGTGACACACTTTGGTTTCTCATTTAAACATGATTCAGGGTTGATGAAACAGTTCTGATAGCACGCTCCACTTTCTAAAGAGATATTAAAAAGTCTTCCAAATGGCTCATTAAAGGAATCCTTCCCATTCAGGAAGCCCTTTTGTGTGGTCCCCGCGAAGATGCACTCTGAGAGAAAGGCATCAGTGCCTCTAACAGCACCAGGCGGGCCCTGGGCCCTTGCGCTTCGCCTTCACGAAAACCTGAAATAAAACTGCATCAGTATTCTGAATGGGCAATAGAAATAAACAAAAGTTTGTGATGGCATAAAATCTTTTGATCTGAAGGATTTATAGAAGCTGTTTTGATGTCTCGAAGGGGCCTGAAGACACCTGCTCAACCTTAAATCCAAAAGGAAATGTAAACAAGCATTTAAATGTCCGCGTAGAAGGTGGCAGCAAGTATGTTGATGGAGACGCTTGTCTAACACTGTAGACTTTAATTACTTAAGAGCAGTGGTCTGTGCCTAACAATCCTTTAAGTACCTAGAAAGGAAGCATTTGCATGCCTCTAAAACAGCATTTTTTCTTCTCACGTGAGCAAGAATACACGTAGAACAGAAGCTGCTCTAAGAATTGGGCTATGTCTGTTTCTGGACCCTGTTGGGCACTGCCTATGTTAGTTTAATCAAACCGTACATGAAGCATCCTGTCCAAGTCACTAAGACTGCTCAGAAATCAGGATGTTTTTAAAAAAACATTCTTAAAAAAATACGTATATTTGGGCTCAGCACGGTAGTCTAGTGGCTAAAGTGCTTGCCCTGCACGAGCTGGGATCCCATATGGGTGCCAGTTTGTGTCCCAGCTGCCCCACTTCCCATCCAGCTCCCTCTTGTGGCCTGGAAAAGCAGTCAAGGACAGCTGAAAGCCTTGGGACCCTGTACCTGTGTGGGATACCCAGAAGAAATTCCTGGATCCTGGCTTCAGGTTCGCTCAGCTCTGGCTGTTGTGGCCACTTGGGGGAGTGAATCAGCGGACAGAAGATCTTCTCTCTGTCTCTCCTCCTCTCTCTTGTATATCTGATTTTCCAATAAAAAATAAACAAATGTTTTTTTATACATATATTTATTGGAATATATTCAAATATATATTTACATATATATTTGAAAGGCAGAGTTACAGAGAGAGACAAAGGATCTTTCATCTGTTGGTTCACTCCCCAAATGGCAGCAGGAGCTGGGGCTGAGCCAGCCCAGAGCCAGGAGCCTAGAACTCCATTTGTGCCTCTCATATCAATGACAGGGGTTCAAGTACTTGAGCCATATTCTGCTGCTTTCCCAGGTGTGTTAGCAGGAAGCTGGATCAGAAGTGGAGCAGTCAGGATTTGAGCCTTTGCTTCCATAGAATGCCAGAGTCACAGAAGGCAGCTTAAGCCACTGCAACATCTTGGCTCTAGCAGGTGGATTTCTGTCTTGGTCAGGGGATGATTTCCACTAGAAGGACCCTGGATGCAGCTTCTCCTCCCCATGATGGAGCACAGAGTGATGTTGGTATGTGTCTTAGGCTCCAAGGGTCCCTTTGCCAAATAAGGAAAATGGGATTGCAGGTGACAGCGGGTACAGTAACTTACAATAGCAGATGGCATCAAATGTGGGTATTGGATTAGGAGGCCTGTGCAGTTACCGTCTCAGCCAGGGTATGTGGGAGGACAGAAGAAGTACACGGGCCTCAGGGATGCACAGTGACAATAGACCAGTGGCACTCTCCTGAGTGAATGGGGGCACTGAGGCCCCAGGTTTGGGAGCAAGGCCAAGGTGTGTGTGTGTGTATTTGTGCACCCAGTCTTCAGAGGACACTGGCCCTGGAGGGTGTGCTCCTGTGCAACCCTCTCTCAGAATGCCCATACTCCGTGCCAACCAGCACCTGCTCTTTCTGGCCCACACTTGCAGTTCCTTCTGCTCTCCCAGCCTAGAAACTCCCTTCCCATTTGCCACCTTCCCTGCATACAACACTGCCTTCAGAAGGACATTTGGCCTGGGAATCTGCTTTTTCAACCAGCTTCCATCTCATTCTGCCCAGAGCTTGCGCTCTCCGGGGTATGAGATATAGATGTGGTTTTAACTTTTGTGTATTTCATTTGTGTGTTTTGTGTGTTTCATTCAGGGCCAGGCATGTAGGGAGAAGCAGCTTCCTTATTCCCTGATGGCTGCCCTGAGAAGTACCTTTTCCACTTTCCATGCTGGCTGCCCCTCCTTGATCAGGTATCCTGTTCTGCACCATGCATGCACCACATCGCTTAAATGCTGCTTGGTGCATGCCCTTGAGGGCCAGTGCTGAGGCCCTCATGAATCGATGCCCATCCAAAGGACTGTGGACCTCTATTCCCTGGGTCTTGGCCCATGAGGCAACGACTTTGCATTTGATGCTGAGTGCTGCATAGAGCAAGAGCTAAAGGCAGAGGGAGGCAGAGCTTCAGTCCCAAGGACACATAATGGTGAGGTCTGGGAACAAAACCATGGGTTCAAGGTCCCACCACCTGGGTCCCCACCTCAGTGCTGCTAACTGGGCCTCCACCTCTGCCTGTCAGCACCCACTCATTCGCACCAAGGAAGTGGTCTCACTTCATAGGAAAGGTTGAGCTATGTCAAGCAGAATAGCAATGGCAGATTGGTGTTGTGTTGCTTACTTACAATTAAGAACTGTTATTACCCTTATCACACTTTTATATAAAAAGCATGATAATGGGGTTTGGCATTGGGCAGAGCCAGTTAAGCCACCCCTGCAATGCTGGATCTCCATTTGGGTGCCAGTTCAAGTCACGGCTGCTCTGCTTCCCAGCAAGCTCCCTGCTAATACACCCAGAAGAGCACTTGGGCCCTTGAACCCAAATGGGAAGTGCCAGGTTCCTGACTTCTGCTTGGCCCAGCCCTGACCACTGCAACCATCTGGAGAGTAAATTAGCAGATAGAAAACCTCTTTCTCTATGTTTCTCCCTCTCTCTGTAACTCTGCCTTACACATAAACAAATCTTAAAGCATGATACTTAGTCACCTGTAATACACACAGCATGAAAAAGCACGAAAGTAGAATCCTTATTGCTGGACACCTTAGTGCTAGAGCATGAAACTTCTCAGAGTTCCTGTAGATTTATTTAAAGAAGCAAATGCGTGGCTGATCCCCTTCTTTCATGCCCCTGACAGTTTTAGTGAGTCGGGAAAGGCATTTCCTTCCGTGGGGTGAGTGTAGTCTGTCTCTGCCTAGGGACTTTTTCTCGCATTCATCAACTTTTCAACTCTGCACACACCAGCTGTGTGTCTGGGAGCTCTGTTCTGTTCAGATGCTGTTGACCTGAGTTAGCGTCAGATATTGTGGGTGAAGGTTCCACAAGATTGCCTCCTGCCATCTAAGAGGGTCCCCTTCTGAGTTCCCCATGCTGTCATCAGGGTTCCTACAACCCCCTCTTTGGTCTGAGAATTTACCAGGACAGCTGGTAGAACTCAGAAATGCTCCTGCATGTTTCCAGGTCATTCTGAAGGCGACACCAGGCAGGTGTGGGGCCTCGTCAGATCCACCCACTCAGCACTATGCTGCATTTACCAACACAGGAGAACTTTAAAAACCCTAGAAGGGTGAAGGTTAAGGTTAACAGCAAGTGAAGCCAATGCTTTGGGTGCTCATGTCCCTTGTCAGAGTGCCCGGCTTTGAGTCCTAGCTCCATTTCTGATGCACATGCGCACCTTGGGATGTAGCAGCTGGTCTAGGAACACAGGTACAGGTGACGCAGCAGGTGATGTAAGTGGTACACTCAACATGGCAGAACTGATTTGAGCTCTGGGCTCTTGACTTCAGTCTGGCTGAGCCCCAGCTCTGGCAGACATGTCAAGGATAACTCGGCAAACAGATCTCTTTCCATCTGTTCTCTGTCTCTCTGCCTTTCCAAAATAAGATGAACATAAATGAACAAATATTGAAAGGAAAGATGGAAAGGAAAGCTCTCCAAAGATTCAAGCATCTCAGCAACTCCCCTATCAGGAAACACATGTCTCAGGGTACCCTGGCATCACAAAGGTAAACTTCGAATTGGATCAGATTTCTTTTTAAAAGATTTGTTTGTTTTTTATTGGAAAGGGAGATTTACAGAGAAAAGGAGATACAGAGAAAAAGATCCATCCACCAATTCTCTCCCACAAGTAGCCACAATAGCTGGAGCTGAGCCAATCTGAAGCCAGCAGCCAGGAGCTTCTTGTGGGTCTCCCAAACAGGTGCAGGGTCCCAAGGCTTTGGACCATCCTCTACTGTTTCCTCAGGCCACAAGCAGGGAGCTGGGTGGGGAGTGGAGCAGCCAGGACACAAACAGGTGCCCATATGGAATAACAGCACTTGCAGGAGGAGGATTAGCCAATTGAGCCATTGCACCAGCCCCAGAGATAGCATGTTCTTAGTCTTGGAGGCCATGCAATCTCTGCCAGAATTCCCCAGAAATAATGCTGTGCTGTGTCTGCTGCATCGTCCCAGGAACAGACACAGTCAGCCTGTCCCATGGTTTGCAACATGAGCCTCAGCAACCCAGAAAAGTTGGTGTCTCTTCAGTTTCTCCACCAGAAAAACCCTCCGTTTCTGCTTGTAATTGAACAGCATTTGGGGGCAGGGAGAATGTCTGAGCTGACACCAACAGAACCACACCTCATGAATCCTCACAGCAAGAGTAACGGCCTGAATTAACTTGCATCCCCAGGGTGGCCCTTTCAGGCGATTTCTGCAGGCCCTTCTGTTTTCACCATCAGCTTCTCCTGGAAGGACTGTCTGTCCCTTCTCTTTTTAGCCACCCACTCATAAACTTACAGTGGAATGAACTCAGATTCCTCTTTCAACGAGTTGTATCCCTTGGTGCCATTATTTATTTAAATACTCAAACTGCTCAAGATTTTGCCAGTAGAAGCCCTCTCCAAAAGGATGCTATTTTCTTGGTAGGAAAAGTTTCAGTATGAGCATCTTCCCAGGCATACAGGGAAGGAAGTGGTGTGGCAGGCTACCATTTCTCCTGTCCAGGAGCCCTGGCTCCCTTCATAGTAGCAAGGACTTTAGGAAGTGACCTCCACGCCTTCAGGGAGCTCCTTCCTGATGAGGTCATGACTGCTAGGCTTTACATCAGACAGGACTAGAAAACAGGTGCATAAATCTATGACCTGGTAGCCATCCAGTCTACATTTTTATGGATGTATAGATAGATGTATACTGCATAATGGCATTTCAATAAAGCCATTCGACTATGGATTGCCCCGATGCTGGTGGCCCCCTGAAGTGACATTGTCTAGTGATGTCTTGTGTAAGTGCACTTTGTGACATTGACAGAACAGAATCATCCAACAACACTTTCTTAAAATACGGCCCTTTCATTGAGCAGCTCGCATCTGTCTATAAAATTAAAACTCAGAAGTTCATTTTGCTCTGCAATTACAATGGTGCATTTCCATGTTCTTTGTTTCCCTTCCAACATTGGTTCTCCAACAGGGATTCCATTGTCCTCCATGTGTTTATGCTTTTGCTCCATTTGCTAGTTGTTTCAGCATCACCAGTGTCCCAGTCACCATAGCCACCTCCTCTGCACAATTGCCATTACTGCCTCCTTGACCGCTGAATGTGCCAGTACTGCCATGTGGTCCTCCCCACTTTGCCCCCTTCCCTGAGCACACACTAAAGCCTCATGTTGCTCTCATCCCAACTACTCTAGGTCTCAACCACCAGGCTCCTCCAAGTTACCACAACCTTATCATCCAATTTCTTCGGCTTCCAGATGTGATGATGGGTGTGGAGTCCTGTCATCCCTGCTTTGCTTTCTAAGCTGTGGGGCACACTGATACCCCAGGGGAGGAAGGGACAAGAAGGAACCCTTTATGACTCCTTTTCACTTCCAGTTCTTAGGTTTGTTACCACATCTTTGGGTCTCAACTCTCAAAGGCTTTTTCCTCTCTCTTCTCAATTTTTAGTAAGATGTCTTAGAGACTTGCAAGCAGCATGTGTGGAGTCTAACCCAAACACTCCATCAGAGCCCAGTAAGACAAGAAGAGGCTGTGTATAAAGACGACAACTAGATGGGTAGTAGGACCAGTGTATTAAGGCTTTAGCAGAGCTCATGTTGAACAACTCCACAACAGTTTCTTCATTGAAAAACATCCTTCTTCCCTGTAGGCACTGTACACTGTAGACGGGGCCAAGTGTGGAGTAAATTACATATTTGCTAACTACTTAATAAGCCCTTTCTCCCATCTTTGACACATGCTAATGGGAGCTAAATGCCATCTCTACAAGGAACCTAATTTCACATTCCTCCTGTAAAAACACTGACCACCTAGTAGAAACACACTGGGTGTGCTCCGTGATCCGCGTGTCATATCTGATTGATGATGTGTTGATTTCTTTGTGTCACAGAACCCAGTTTGTGAAAAGCAAGAACAGCAAGAGGACGACTCCGAGTATAACAATTTCAAGGTGATCATAAAGGTAAACTTGCTTATTGTCATGGGGCCGAATTATGAGCGGGGTAGTCTGCTTCCATAGGAAAAACATGACTCTGTATATAAAACTCATTCTTCCCTTCTCTTTCGTCTGGAAAGGCACCCTGCCTGGAGCTAAGCTATCATTTGCTTTATGACGAGATGTGTGTCTCCATTCTAGGAGAACAGCTTCCTGTCGTTCTTCCCACACAGGCAGCCATGAGTTTATTTAAATCCCTTGGGTCTCATCAAGATTTTGTGAGCATCTCACAGCATTCATTACAACTCATGCGTCCAGGCGTGACTTATTACAGAGAATTATTGATCACATAATTTCCTCTCTGAAAGACTTCTTGGAGAAGGTTCTATGCTTCACCTGACAGATGAAGGAAAGGACAGAGGGGAAACAGCGGGCCTGAGACAACTCGGAGGATTGGAAGAGAAACTGAACATAAAATTCCAGGTCCCCCAACTTTCCTTTTGTTGCCCTCTGTTACATCAAATGACCTAGAGGGAGGGAAAACAACCATGCCTCTAAGTGGTGAAATAGCACCCCCCAGTGTTCTTCCATGGCATCGCAAAAAGACCTGACGGAAAGTTGGGGATGATTTTGACATTGTTTTGTCATGACAGTGAACTTTCTAATCATACTCAAGAGCCACAATACAGAAATCGGCACAGCTGGAAATGGACAGACACTCTTGCAGCTAGGTAGCTTGAATTTGTCTGAGTGGAGAAAAAATATTTTAATCTGGTGGCCTCTGACATTTGCTTGTAAAATATATCATGCATCGGGCCCGGCGCGGTGGCGCAAGTGGTTAAAGGTCCTCACCTCGCACGCCCGGGATCCCATATGGGCGCCGGTTCTAATCCCGGCAGCCCCGCTTCCCTTCCAGCTCCCTGCCTGTGGCCTGGGAAAGCAGTCGAGGACAGCCCAAAGCTTTGGGAACCTGCACCCACGTGGGAGACCCAAAAGAGGCTCCTGGCTTCGGATCGGCATAGTATCGGCCCGTTGCGCTCACTTGGGGAGTGAATCATCGGACGGAAGATCTTCCTCTCTGTCTCTCCTCTCTGTATATCCGCCTTTCCAATGAAAAAAATAATAAAAATAAATCTTTAAAAAAAATATATCATGCATCTGAAAAGGAATAAGGAATTGCACGGAGTAGTTGGATTCCCACCTGAGAGATTAAAAAATTAGTCATTGCTGGATCAGTCAGAGGCCCCAAAATATCCCTTCTGGGTTGTAGGTTCACCCCTTTTCCTTCTTGAATTCCCTACTGATCACAGTGTAAGCTTCTCAACGTCCCTGTTTTGTGCAGTGTTGTTGGGGAAAGGGGAGGCTTCATCCAAAATTTGTATTGGTTCATGCCTTCTCACGTGTATACAGAATTATAGTGAGGTGTCTATTCATTATCTTCCTTGGATAGTTAGATTGTTTCCAAGTTTTCTTTGCATAATAATGTTGTGATGAACTTTGTAACACTGATCCAGTGTGTACAGGTGCAAAAATGTTTCCCTGACTGCACAGATGTACAAGTTTTTTGGGGGGGAGGATTGTGGAATTGCAGGCTGCAGGTGGCTTCAGTTTCTCAAAGTGGCTGCGCCCTTTTAAGTTCTATCATGAATACCTTTAGAGCGCCATTGTTCTCAGACTTGATCAAGATTTAGTAGTACCGGACTTAACTTTTTGTCAATATGGTGGGTGTAAAATGGCGTTTATGACTGTAATTTCCATTTCTCTTATTATTAATAAGATTGGGCATCTTTTCACACGTTTGCAGCCCAGTTGTGTCTCTGTGCCTGTTAAATGCCTGTTCTTACCGTTTGCCCATTTTTATTAGATTGCCTTCCTCTGGTGAATGGGTAGGTGTTTGTTATATATCACAGATGTCAGTCATTTGTAGGTCATGTCTTTTAGTAGTTTGAATTTTCTCCTTATGCTTTCTCCTTATGCCTCTTTAACTATACTTCCTGAAGCATTTATTTTGAAGTCATTTCAAACTCATAGGAAGTTTCAAACAAAAAAGATTGTATGCATGGTCTTTATCCAGATCCACCAATTGGGGGCAGCTTTCCACATCTGTTTTTGAATTTTATCTGTCTTTTTTCTTGGACTACGTAAAATTAAATTTCAGACATTATAATCTTTTACTCTCTTCCCCAAATTTCAGTATTTACGTCTTAGAATAACAACATAAAGAAATTCACTTACAGGGCCCAGCATTGTGGCATAGTAAGTTAAGCCACTGCCTGCTAGCAGTTCAAATTCTGGCTGCTCCGCTCCAATCCAGCTTCCTGTTAATGCACCTGAGAAAGCAATGCAAGATGGTCCAACTGCTTGGGCTCCTGTATTGATACGGGAGACCAGGATAAAAATCGAGGCTCTTGGTTTGGATCCAGCCCAGTTCCTGCTGTTGTAACCATTTGGGAAGATTCATTCTCTCTCTCTCTCTCTCTCTCTCTCTCTCTCTCTCTCTCTCTCTCCTTCTCTCTCTCTAACTCCACATTCCAAATAAACAAACAAGCCTTTTACTCAAAAGAAAGAAAGGAATTTACATACACGGCTCCAATACAATAATAAGAGTCAGGAATGTTAAAAACTGAGATGAAGGGCCCGGCATGGTAGCCTGGAGGTTAAAGTCCTCATCTTGCATGCACTGAGATCTCATATGGGCACTGGTTCTAGTCCCAGCAGCCCCACTTCCCATCCAGCTCCCTGCTTGTGTCCTAGGAAGACAATCAAGGACAGCCCAAAGCCTTGGGACCCTGCACCTATGTGGAAGACCAAGAAGAAGCTCCTGGCTCCTAGCTTCAGATTGGCTCAGCTCTGACTGTTGCAGTCACTTGGAGAGTAAATCAATGGATGGAAGATCTTCCTTTCTGTCTCTCTCCTTCTCTGTATATCTGATTTTCCAAGGAAGATGAGTAAATCTTTAAAAAAAAAAAAAGCCGAGATGAAATTAATGTTATATAAAACTGTTTAAAATGTTGTGATAACACCACTTCTTATCTTAGTTCCAAGACATTTAATCACTTCAAAATAAAAGCCCATTGAGAAACCATTTCCCTCTACCCCTCACCTACTGCAAATATCAATCTATTTTTAATTTCAATGACTTCTGGAATGTTTATAGAAATGAGATAATTTAAGAGGTGACATTTTGTATCTGACTTCTTTCATTTAGCACAGAATCTTGTTGTTGCCTCCATGTTATCACATGTATTTGTGTCAGCATCGCGTTGCTTTTTGTGGCTGAGTAATGTTCATTGAATGTAGACACCACAATTTGCTTGCTCATCCATCCAGTGATGCATTTAGGTTGTTTCCATCTTTGAGCACGTGAATAGCGCTACTAGACACTTGTGTTCAAGTATGTGAGTCTCTAACCTCAGGTCTTTTTGAAATACACCTGTAAGAGGGATTGCTGGGTCACAGGACGACTGTATAGGTCACTTTTTTGGAAGAACAAGCCGATCCTTCTTCCACTGTGACTGCATCATTGAACATTCCTACCCGCAGGTTATGAGGGCTCTGACTCCTCCACATCCTTGTATGGAGTTCCCAGGACTGGGCCAGGTCCGGAATTCAGTCTAAGTGTCCCACCCGGGGAAAAAGGAGGCAAGCCCAGCCACACTGGTATCCCGCCAGCAGTTGTTTCTGGTGGCCGTCGTACCAAGTGAGGAGCCACAGCTCACTGTGGCGTCTGTCGGCATTTTTCCTAATGACTGACTATCCTGTGGATGTTTCTGTGGGCTTCGTGACCACTTGCCTTTCCACACATTCTTTGCCCATTTTTAGACTGCAATTTGTTGTTGCTGTTGAATTGTAAGAGCTTTTTCTTTTGTTCTGGATTATAGATACATAATGTGCTAGCTGTTTTCGATACTCCTATTTTGCCTTTTCACTTTCTCAATGATTCTTCTGATGCACAAAAGTTTTCAGATGTTCAATTTTTTTTTTTTTATTGTAAAGTCAGATATACAGAGAGGAGGAGAGACAGAGAAGATCTTCTGTCCGATGATTCTCTCCTTAAGTGACCACAATGGCTGGTGCTGCACCGATCTGAAGCCAGGAACCAGGAACTACCGCCAGGTCTCCCACACAGGTGCCAAGGCTTTGGGCCATGCCTGACTGCTTTCCCAGGCCACAAGCAGGGAGCTGGATGGGAAGCAGGGCTGCTGGGTAAGAACAGGCGACCATATGGGATCCCAGCGCGTTCAAAGCGAGGACTTCAGCTGCTAGGCCACCTCGCTGGGCCCAGAGGTTCAATTTTGATGTGTCTTGGCACAGCTCTCTTTGGGTTTATTCTAACTGAGATTCAATTTTTTGAACCTGTACAGGGGTGTGTGTGTATGAGTACACACATGGGCAAGTTTGGGCCATTTTCAGCCATTCTTTCTTTCCATATGGCTTCTCAGCCCCATCTCATTCTCTCGTTTGGTGACTCTGAAGACACAAACTCCAGGTCTTCTGTTGCTGTTGTGTAAACCCTGAGATTGTTTGTTTTCCTTTTATCTGTTTTCTCTCTCTTGCACAGTGTGGGTGATTGATGCTGATCTAGCCTCACCTTTATTGATCATTTTCTTCTGTGTTTTAATTTCTGTCATTGAGCTCTGGTAGAAAGCTTGCTTGCTTCTGAGGTTGTATGCTTTCTCCTACCATTTACACTTGATTTGTCTTTACGTATTCTGCTGCTCTGCACAGTTTCCATTCGTCTCAAACATGCTCATTTTCCTCCCTAAGGCATCTCGTGATGTGTGCTTTAAACCCTGGTGAGATGATGCCAATGTTCACGACATCTTGGAGTTGATGTCTGTTCTTCATCTTTTCTCACTCAAGTTATGAGTTCCCAAATGTTGTCTTTTGAAATATAATTTTTTTTAAATTTTGAAAACCACCAAATATATTCTGCTTGTTTTTTTAAGATTTATTTTATTATTTTTTTTATTACAAAGTCAGATATACAAAGAGGAAGAGAGATAGAGAGGAAGTGGAGCTGCTGA